CAAGGACGCCTGCCAGGGAGACTCCGGCGGCCCGCTGCATGTCTTCAACAACAACACCAACACATGGCAGATCGCAGGTCAGTCAACAAACGACACCAAACGAACTTCATTGTAAAAGTGTTGTACGGTCGCGGAAACTGGCGGTGTTCCAACACAAAAGCGACAATCGTTTGAACATTTTTGAAACGAGACACGGAAAAAATCAATACAATGCAGCTTATAGGTGTGCCTGTACAACAAAAAGTCCACTCACTGCTATCTAATTAGTTATTTGTAGAAGGGGAACAAGGCAATTTTTCCTGAAGTAGAGCAGCGCAGATTTCCGCGATTGTACTTCTTCAAATATCACTTACTATGCAGAGTACATTTTAAGTGAAGCATTACTATAGTGAATATTATAAAACGCAATGATTTGATCATTTGCATTGAATTCCAAAACTACTGAACAGATTTGAAAAATTATTTTATCCTTGGTAAGCTACACTATCCCTGGATGACATAAGCTATATTTATTACTAGATTATTTTTAATATTGCACGGACGAAGTCGCCAGCAAAATCTAGTTATAATGTGCATAACCAAATATGTCCCCAACAAGCCTTAGTTTCTAAATTGTAAAATATAATCTCAATACTCAACTCTACTTGACCATCCCCTCTTGACAATCCGCCGACCTCCAGTATTAAAATTATATTTATATTTTCAGGAGTAGTATCGTGGGGAGAAGGATGCGCTCGACCTAAGACACCCGGCGTGTACAGCCGCGTCAATAGATACCTGACTTGGATCAAAAGCAACACAAAAGACGCATGTTATTGCAACGAGAAATTCATTAAAAAAAATTAACAAACAATGATATAGCATTGAATGTGTTAACTTAAATGAAATTGCATATCCGTCCACAATGATGAAACTTGAATAACAGACTGCCATTAACAGGAATATTTATTTCTAGGTTGTTCTAGAAATAATTTAAAGAAACTAGAATTAATTTATTTAGTGAAAAAGATCAATTAGTTAAGTGCTATATTTATTTAGTTCTAAGTTTTCTTTATTTATACATACATTATTTAGTAACAGTAAAAGATTTGTATATGAAATGTTATTTTACTAAAAAACTTCAAATCTTTGTAATATAAAAGGTGAATGAATAAAAAAATTACTTTACTTTTATTTCACCTAGTTCAAAAACCCACAAAAAGCAAACAACATAATTATATGGATTTTGTTGTAACTGAAGTATTCAGTAAATAAACATTAAGACAAGTTGTTTTTCATTATTTATTGCCCAGATATGATATATAAATACTTAAGTCTACACTTGTATGTTTTTTACTATAATACTCTTTAATGAACCACTAACAGAGAAATTCTAAATGAAATTATAAATAACATTGAGCAGAAACCAACTATTAATTACTACTCATCTAACTGACTAAAAAAACCTAAACAAAGTCTCACAAAATATCACTATTTAAATTTATTTAAATATAATGTTAATAAATTACATTTCAATTTTTCTCTTTTTATTTGGAATAGAGACCTTTTTTTTAAATGTTCTTTACAGTATTTTGAAACAGTTTCGACTTTATATTAGCAACAGTTTTTAACAGAGCAAGCAAATTTCTTATAAAGAGTTACGAGTTTAATTTTTATGTTAAATATAAAATATCAAATTTTTCATTGAATTGTACCTCACTTTAATAAAATGGATGACACCCACTAACTATATAATTAAAACAGAAGGTCTAATAATCTTAAAATACTAAATTTATGCCATATAGTGTTGCCAGGTACAAAATCAATAAAAGTTTTTAAATAAAGATGCCAACTCGGACAAAATGATTCCAGTAGATGCAACAGCATTCATGTTAATGTTGATCGGATCCCTGTTTGGTTCGGTCGTTGTAGTTGTTTCTTCAACAATATCATTGCCTTTTTTAACTATTCTTCGTGTCTCAATGGTGCCGTCGGGTTTTGTCACGCTAGTTGTTATGATGGTCTGGCAAAATGACCTAATAGCTGGTGTATTGTCATAACGGTGAGATGGCACAAGAGCGTCATCCTTCTTATTCAACAAGCCTGATATTTCTTGAGATGATATCTTGCCATCAAGATCTCCATCAAGACGATCATGTTTATGACTGTGGTAACCTGGCTTTAAATAATAATCTCTTATGGTGTTCGTATTGTTATAGTGTTCTGGTTCCTCACTTGTAGGTATATCAGTTATCATAGCATCCATGTTGCTATCGTGAAAGAATGTCTTCACATCGCCGAACATGCTGCCGAAAGAGTTGAACATATCCTGCATTTGTCGGCTTAATTCCCTCTGCAAGTCCATAGCGTCGAATACGTCCATTTGCTGTCTACTATACAGTTCGTCGTCGTCGTCATCATCGTCTGTGTTCCAGATGGGATTGCGAAAATCGTTGCGCGGCGGCTCAGTTCGAATACCAAAAAATGAACGTACCTTGTCCATAAACGTGCTGTTACCTTCCATCCTGATATTACTTGGAATTTACTTGACACCTGCTAAAAACTGTATACCAAATTGTAAATCGAAAATAAAAAGGATATTAACACTTCTATTATTTATTGTGATTGCGCAATAATAAACAAATGTCACATCATACGTCAACGTGACATACTTCAAAGAGTAATTTGATAAAGAAAAACCACAGAGCAAACAAAGTGCACAAAACTAATTGAAAAATAAATCTCTAACTCTAAGTATTCATCATCTAAAAAATCAAGATACATTTCAGATTTTCTACTAAATAGTTAACTACACACCCCTAATCAAATTTTAAGAACGTGATAACTGCCTCTCCTAAGTAACTCTTTCTCACCAGTAGGTGAAAAAGTGCCTAAGGTAACTTGGAAAACGTTGATTGTTCATGATAAAAAGTATGTAATCAAATATTATAAATTTTCGTAAATTATTGTTATTTAAATATTATTACTAATCACGTCCTTCAAAGTATTTTTTCGAGATGACCTAAACGTGGTTTTAAACTTAAAAAAATATTTATTTTGTTTAATGCATTGTGTCTTAAACATTATTTTACATCAGATACGTAACTAAATTCTTATTTTTTTAATTTACACCTAAAATTAAATAATCGCCACTTATTTTTTACCATTTTTAGTCCCGTCCCTTTCTGGTTTCGGTAAAGCTTAGCATATTTATTAAGATTTTCCAAACAATTTACATCCTTTCTTTCCCTTTCCATTTGTCGATCTTATAAGAAGATGGGAGGCTGTTTAATTTGACAGATCGTCGATCATGCAATACAGAATCCTATTCCTATTTGCGTCTTGATAAAGTGCACAAGTTTGATGAGATGATATAAAAGAAAAAAATATGCATTATTTAGATTTTTTCAAAAAATAATTACCAAGCAAGTTAATTTGGCTTTTTGGAATGGCATTAACAAAATTTTACTCAACGACCTAAAACAAGGTAAATATTACTTTTTTTTTATTTTTATATACTTTGAAAAAGGAAACAGTTAAGTAAATATTATAAATACATTTAAACTGACATTTAAACACCGCTTAATTAAAATCAATTTAATAAAAGTGTTGGTTGATTGAGCACGCTTCTTCGCGGTTATTTGACATGCCATTTATAAATTGATTTCAGTAAGCATACAAACTAGTCTTTTTTTTTAATATTTCATGCCTCGTAATGTGGAAGTCTTTTGACCAACGTCGTTAAAAACCGGCTTTCCTTCTGTCAGTGTTGTTTGATGCGAATACGAAGCTCGTAGTCGTGGTTTTATTGTGTTCTATCACAGAAAATAAAAGTTTTTTTTGTGTTAATAATGTCCACGGAAATTAATAACCGGACAGCATTACTTCATAATAGAAGAAATGGTTTGTATTTTCTAAATTATTATGTTTACAATTTAAATGCGTACATTTTTTCGATAACTTTAATGAAACAAGTTATTGCGTTTTTATGGTATTCATTTCTTATATTAGTTAAAAATTGTGGTTTTCACATATATGTTTAACATTTTAATGACTTATCTAGCTTAAGTGTACATAAAAAATTCGTCAATCCTGTAAGGTTAATTTTCACTCTAGAATCATGTGAATTGCTTTAAATAAGTGTCATGCAATATTTGATTTTAAAAAAAAAATCTTATGGTACCTGGATGCCAGCATTCCATGTGACTCTCCGGGAGAGTACAGACAAATGTATAAAGAAAAAAACAGCAATATTTTATGCTTCATTAAAAAAAAATGGCAAATAAAACAAATGAGTTATAGACATAATAGAAATATTAAAAGCATTTCATATTCAAAAAGTTAACAAAATCTGCAAAATAAAACCTATTGTAGTTCTTTTTATATAAAAGAAGAATGAATGACCAAAAAATCAATTTAATTAACCTTATGTTAATTTTGAATATTTTAACAATTAAAATGAATTGTTGTATTAATTTTAGTTAAAATCATTAAGCAATATGTTATGGTATAGGCTTTATAGTTCTTTTAAATGTCTTAGAGACCACTAACAACTTAAACGGCCAGTCAGAATTTGTCATTATGGATATCCATCCAGGGAGATCCTGGTAGATCCTTTTCTTCAACATCCATACATTTAAAATACATAAATCTGCTTTTAATAAACATTCTTGGCAATCTATACTTAATTCTAATAATTTATTGTGTACCCAATCCAGGAAGACAAAATGCCTCAGCGGTACATCCAATGTTATATTACTATAGTAATTCCAACCAACCCAGCAGACTAAAATGACCCATCCCACCTTCACATTGATGTTTGTATAGTAATCTTTACCAGAAGTTATTTTAAAAAAGTTCAAGATATAACATATACTTATGTACTAGTCAAAGCAACGGCGGATCCAGGGGAGGGGATCCCCCCCAAGTTGGTTGATCAAGAGTTGGTCAAGACAAAATAAATATGGATACGGTAGATGGATACGGTAGATTTTTTTTTTTTT